TCATCTCCAACCGAAGGTTGGCCAGATGGCTCGTTTTAGCCATTTGGCCCTCCAAGAAATTAATATTTTAATGAACAATACATGGTCATATTTGCCTTCATCTCCAACAGAGGGTCAAAGGGTCATAGGGCTCGTTTTAGCCCTGTTACAAAAAACTGTCTCCAACCGAGGGTCATAGGGCCAAACATAATTTATTATTTAAATTAAAAAACTATAACAACTTAAATTTAAAAACAACAATAACTTAAATACAAAAACTACAACTTATATTTAAAAACTACAACTTAAATTTAAAAACTACAAATTAAATTCATAAAAAAAAATATGGCCCAAAAAAAAAATTGAATCCAACGGTAACTAGCCATTGTATTTGAAATTTTGGCATACCATTCATGTCGGATATAACCAACAGGAATAAGTACAATGATGTCGGATATAACCGACAGGAATAATGAAAATTCTGGCCCAGCCCGGGGCTGGCTACTTTGGGCCAGCCGGTTGGCCCTTTGGCCTTTTTTTGTCTAGTGAGGCCCACGAGCCATTTGTTGTCACATCCCGGGCCCTGACCACACCATCATGGTTTTGTTTCTGGAAACTCATACGAGAACTTCCCAATGGGTCACCTATCCTGGGATTGCTCTCGCACGATCTTGCTTAACTTCGGAGTTCCTATGGAACCCAAAGCCAGTGAGCTCCCAAAAGGTCTCGTGTTATATGGAGGTGGGCGTGTACATTTAAGGCATAGATGATCTACTCCCCTGGGCGATGTGGGATCTAACATTTGTCCTAGCCCTCGGTTGGAGACGGTTTTTGGGCTATTTTCAGCCATTTGGCCTTCTGGACCAAGCCATCTCCAACCGAAGGCTGGCCAGATGGCTCGTTTTAGCTCTCTGGCACTCCAAGATACTAATATTTTAATACAAGACCATATTTGCCTCCATCTCCAATCGAGGGCCAAAGGGCCATAGAGCTCGTTTTAACTCTGTCACAAAAAACCGTCTCCAACCGAAGGCCAAACATAATTTATTATTTAAATTTAAAAACTATAACAACTTAAATTTAAAAACTACAACAACTGAAATTTAAAAATAACAACTTAAATTTAAAAACTACAAATTAAATTCATAAATAAATAAAAATGAATCCAACGGTAACTAGCCGTTGTATTTGAAAATTTGGCTTACCATTCCTGTCGGATATAACCGACAAGAATAAGTACAATGCTTTTGGATATAACTGACAGGAATAATGAAAATTCTGGCCCGGCCCGAGGCCGGCTAGCTGGCTGCTTTGGGCCAGTCGGTTGGCCCTTTGGCCCTTTTTTGTCCAGTGAGGCCCACAAGCCATTTGGCCTAGTCCTTGGCTGGAGACGGTTTTCGGGTTATTTTCGGCCATTTGGCCCCTATGGACCATTCGGTTGGAGATGACATTACCTTCTTCACGCATTTCTTCTCCCCTGACCTCATATCGATTCCTTGTCAAGTCAGATAGCCACATCCCTGGAAAACAATACTGCCAACAAATAAATATATTTAAATTAATTTTTTTGTTTTTCATTAAACCAAAAAATTAAAATTAAAATTGAAGAACCATCACCACAAAGGTCGACCTAAAAATTATGTAACGTTTACTATTTTATCTATTTATTTGTCATATTAAATTTTGTACGCATCAATCAAATAAAAGAAAATTTGGAGTCATTAGGCGTTACAAACAAATCAAAATTTGAGAACTAGTCATGCTCATGCATTTATTTAATACATTTACTCTTTAACAAAATTGCACAGAGATTTGGAATTAAAAGAGAAAGTTTTTATTTAAAATGGTCCATGAGATTGATATAACTCATCACTTTCATCCTTGATATTTAAAATCAATAAAAATGGTCCTCAAGTTGTCCACCGTTTCATGAGAAATCTTTGTTAAATTAAGAGTAATTTTGTTAAATGAACCCCTCATCTTGAATTGGCGATTTCTTCAATATAAAATTGAGTAAATGCTATCATTTGATATTACTTGGGGTGATGATAATTATGTTAGTAAAATAACTACAATGATGACAAATACTAATGATACAAGCACATGAAGTTAGAGAAATTTTTCATTGTGATCGGAATACGGGTGATATACCATATATTTTGATATAAATGATGGAAAATTTTATTTTTTTTAGTTATTAATTTTTTTAACACAAATATCTTACCATTTATATAATGACACATGATGTACCATCCTGTATTCCGATCACACTGAAAAATCTCTCATGAAGTTATTATTATTATTTTTTTTGGTAAATCTCTCCTGAAGTTAAGGTGCATGATTTTGGTTACTTTTGATGTGTCTTATTCAACATGGAATCATGTATTCCGATCACACTGAAAAATCTCTCATGAAGTTATTATTATTATTATTTTTGGTAAATCTCTCCTGAAGTTAAGGTGCATGATTTTGGTTACTTTTAATGTGTCTTATTCAACATGGAATTGTAAAGAGTGTAGGGTAGATAGTCTCTGTGATTTTCCGGAATGCCCAAAAATTTTGGAAATTGATAACATGATGGGATTTAAGGAATACCCATGGCCTCTAATTTTTCCCATTTGTTGTGAAAGAGTATTACTGCGACGATATGAGTCCTAATATGGTCAAATGGGTATGCAAATTTCATATTTTTCGATATGAGTTTTAGGGCTGGTTTGGTATTGCTGTACTTTGAAAAAATGTTGCTGTGAGAATAAGCGGCTGTGAAAAAAATCAGCAGAGTGTTTGGTAAACTTTTTTGTAAAAGTGCTGTTGGAAAAAAAAAGCAGTTTGATAGTGGGTCTTTTCATGAAAGGAGCACTGTAGCTATGTGTGCTTTGAAAAAAAAGCCAGTTTTCCAAAGCTGCAAATAGCAGCTTCAGCTTTTTCCTTTGATTTCAGCTTATTCTCACAACAGCTTCCAAAATAAGCATTTTTTTTTTCAGTTTACCAAACACCTAAAACCCTCACAGCTTTTTTTCATGAGTGCTTTTTTTTTAAGCACCTCACTCCCAAACCACCCCTTAATATGGTCAAAGAGTACTACTACGACGATATGAGTCTTAATACTACTATGGTTGATTAGTTTTCTGTTTTAGATGGCTTAATTGGCTTATTATGTTTTTACTTTCCCAGTGTTTTGTAAATCTTTTGTCATGAATTATTATTATTTTTTATTTCACAGTTTGGCGGGTCATAAAAGTTGTGTTTTGAAGAATTTATTGTCAAGATGATTGGTTATATGTTGTTTACACATTTCCATATTACATCAAATTAGTAGAAGATTAAAATTATGTCTGTAATACTATGCATATAATTTCATTCGTTGTATTATGATTGAGTTCGTAATTGGAAAATCTTGCAGCTTCGGCTTTCGATTGTAAGTTTCATAAATATGGGATTGTGTAAATACATAATGTTTTGTATATCTGATTTTTTATTGAACATGACAAATTTATGTTTGAACAATATGGTAGAGAAGATTACATAGACAAGAAAGAAGATAAGGCACCTAATGTGAGAAGAGTGAACACCATGTACATACACTCAAGTATTATCATTTGTATGTAAATAGTATTGTACATAAAAAATTTATACAATTTTCAATCCCGCAACATCGCGCGTACACTCTTTGCTAGTCACTATAGTCTAAAGTTGAGGAGGAAATTGACACTATACATAAGCTATAGTAAAAATACTTTGATTTTGATTTATTTACCAAGTTGCCATTCTACCCAAATTTTTGCTTTGTTACGGATTTGCAGGCCAAAATTTTGCTTTGTGATGGATTTGCCAGGTTCGGCTTTTGCATTCATAGGGCCAGACAGAGGCCTAGAGGGCTGGACCAAAACGGCGCGCAGTCTTGAAACAAGTAAAATTACTCTTGCCCGTTTAGATTTCAGACGGGACGGGCAAGGGTGAAGATTTTGGGGGTAGTTTTGTCATTGCACGTTTGGAGTTTGGGAGGCATGTTGTCTGCTTCGTTGGATGGGATGCCTTCAGGCGATTATGATACTCCTAGTTGAGTACTTTATTATTTTAAATTAGATAATTTTCAAAACTCCCAACAATAGATAATCATAGCTAAAAACCTTCTTATTTCTTTAAATTAAATAACTATAGCCAAAAACCTTCTTATTTCTTTAAATCAAATTTCTTTTATCGGTTCATATAAAATAAGGTCTATATATTTAAGAGTAAGATCCATTTATGTTGAAAGAAATATCTTATGATATTTTTGAACTAGTCATAAGTTCATGAGAAAGGAAAGTCCATGCTCATACTGGTTGGGTCTTTTCATAGGCCGAGGTAGGTAATGTTATATATCCCTCCATCGGCAAGAGAAAGAAAAAAAGAAGAGTAAATATCTTAATGTTACTTTAATTAATATCGATGTCTTTTATGATAAAATCTTATACCTAATAAGTTGAAAATAATATCGATATTGTTGGAAGTGAATATTTGATCTGTTTCTTTGATAATTTAACATGATATCAAAGTCAAACAACAGACCTGTACCCCATGTGATGGGTGGAGGTTTCCTGGCCCCGCTAGATGATGGCGGGTCCCTTGGCCTGTCTACCACACATAATTGTTTATGTAATACAATCAATAATCATAACTCCAAAAGTCAAGAAATTGTAAACAATTCGACTACCTTTGAGGGGATACAGACTTGCTTTGGCAACCGAAGTCGAGAAAAATGTGCTGAGGATTTGGATTATCTGTGCACCATTGACTTCAATATTTGTCTTTGAGCTGATTGCTGCCTCCCTACAATTTCACTTTGCATGCTTTCAGCAACCATCTGCAGCAAAGAAATCTTCGTACAATGGGTAGCTGCTATCCAAATTTCAATGTTGTTTACTATTTTCTCTTTCTGTTTACGGTCACTTCCTACATGCGGATGGGTGACGGACTTCCAAGCGGTGGGGACTCATGCATTGAGGAAGAGAGATGAGCACTGTTCAGCTTCAAACAAAATGTTACTGATCCTTCGGGAAGGCTTTCTTCTTGGGTTGGACGCGACTGCTGTCAATGGAAAGGAATTTTGTGCAACAACCGCACGGGTCATGTTGCAAAGGTGGACCTTCGGAATACTTATCCATCTCCAGTATGGTCTGATCCCGAAGATCACTACGACAAGTTGGCTTATGAAAATGTGAGGGTAAGATAAATCCTTCTTTGCTTAGCTTGAAGCATTTAAATTACCTAGATTTGAGCGGGAACAGTTTCCAACTCCCTAAGTTCAATGGTCTGCTTGAAAATTTGAGGTATCTCAACCTCTCCTCTGCATTATCATCTGAGGGAGCTGAGATTCCAGAGTTTATTGGAAACTTGTCGTCTTTGGAAACACTCGATCTTTCCAATAATTATTTCGAAGAGAATCCAATTCCTAAGTCTTTTGGCCAGCTTAAGAGTTTGAATTATCTTAATATCTCCAACTCAGGTTTTGGGGGAGAAATTCCCCCTAACCTTGGAAACCTGTCAAACCTGAACCATCTTGACCTAGGGGGGAATTTCTTCTTGAAAATATCTTCCGAAAGATTGAATTGGCTTCCTCGCCTCTCTTCCTTAACATACCTCAATCTCGACTTTCTCAATCTTCGCAGCGCGGGAGCAAGTTGGCTATCTGTAGTTAACATTCTTCCTTCGCTGTTAGAGTTGCATTTGTTTGAATGTGCAATTGAAAGAATTCCACTCTCAATCCAAAAGGTAAATATGACTTCACTTTTGGTACTTGATATGTCAATGAATTCTATCATTTCTCCACTACCTAGCTGGTTTTCTAATCTTACTAGTCTTCGAAATCTCTATCTGAGTGGAGATTATTTCAATGGAAACTATTTCACTGGTCCGATTCCTCGAGAGTTTGCAAGCCTCGAATATCTGCAAGGCCTTGATTTTTCTGGTAATAGACTCGAAGGTCATATTCCCAAACTAAACTTTTGCAAGCTAAAGACCCTAAACTTTCAAGGAAACAAATTTGATGGGGGAATTCAAGGGCTTTTGAGTGGATTCTTAACTGTACAGACAGTGTATTGGAATCACTGGATTTGTCCTCTAATGAGCTGGAAGACGAGTTGCCTGACTCCCTTGGGATGCTACACAACTTGCAATATGTCAACCTTGAGTTCAACAATTTTTCGGGTAAAATCCCGGAATCTATTGGAAAGTTGTCATCCTTGAAAACTCTAAACCTCAGTTACAACAATATGATTGGACCGATTCCCGATAGTTTGGGACAATTGCCTGAGCTAGTTCACCTAGATTTGTCCAGGAATTCATGGGAAGGCATTTTAACAGAATCCCATTTTGCAAATCTCACAAAATTACGATCTATTGATGTGTCTACATATCGACCTATGTCGCTCATTGTCAATCTGACTTATGAGTGGATTCCTCCCTTCAAGCTCTACACAGTTGGCATTACAAATTGCAATGTAGGTCCTAATTTTCCTGCATGGCTTCTGTTGCAAACTGAACTTTCTGATGTCACCCTTCGTAGTACTGGAATCTCGGGTATCATACCAGAAGAGTGGTTCTTGAAGATATTGTCGCAGCTCAAATATTTGGATTTATCGTACAATCATATCAGCGGAAGGCTTCCACTCCAATTGAAATGTCCAAAACTATATCATATAGATTTGAGCTATAACAGATTCGATGGTCCACTCCCACTTCTGTCCGCCAATGTTACCATCTTTAATCTTGAAAGCAATTCATTTTCGGGGCCAGTTCCTTTGAACATTGACCAATTGATGCTGACATTACAAGGATTGTATCTTTCTGATAATCAGTTGAAAGGCACAATTCCACCCTCCATTTGCAACTTGCAGAGCTTGTCAATCCTTTCTCTGAGAAATAATCAGTTATTCGGAGAATTTCCGCAAGAATGGAGTATGTGGCCCTTAATGTTGATTGTCGATGTTGGATACAACAATCTCTCAGGTAATATCCCAAGTTCAATGGTTTGTGTCCAAGCTCACTTCTTGTATTAAAGATGAATGACAACAATCTTGGGGGCACAATTCCTTCTTCTGTATGGCGAAATTGCCACTTCTTTGAGGAGTAATCGATTTTGGAGGCAAACAAATTTACAGGAAACATGACTTTATGGATAGGATCAAATGCGCCCGGGTTGTTTTTCATATGATTGCGATCCAACTTATTAAGCGGACATATCTCCGACCACTTGTGCAATCTTCCGTTGCTTGACATCCTAGACCTTAGTCACAACAACTTCTCAGGCCCATTCCAAGTGTTTGAAGAATATGATGTCTTTGGTGGAAGGTTTTTCCAATGCCACTTTACTGTGAAAGCTATATTGAGCAAACCACATTGACGTTGAAGGGAAGAGAACTCGTATATAACAAAACTCTGTTCTTGGTGAAAAGCATCGACCTTTCATCGAATAATTTAGAAGGTGAAATCCCTGAAGAAATAACAAGCCTCATAGCGTTAAGTACCTTAAACTTGTCAAGAAATCAACTAAGGGGAAACATTCCTTTGAAGATCAGAACCTGTGTTGGCTGGAAACTCTTGATCTCTCACACAATCACCTTTCAGGACAAATTCCTCAAAGTTTGTCTTCTTTAACCTCCTTATCTTACTTGAACTTGTCTTACAACAACTTGGGTGGAAGGATTCCTTCTGGGAACCAACTCCAGACGCTCGAAGATCCCTCCATTTACGAGGGCAACCTTTTACTGTGTGGAGTTCCTCTTTCAACTAAGTGCCCAGGAGATGATACTTTTACTGCTACAGATGCGAAAGACAGCAACGAAGATGGAAATGATAAGTTGTGGTTCTATGTCAGCATGGCACTGGGTTTCACCGTAGGCTTTTGGGGTGTTTGTGGTACATTGCTTGTGAAGAAGTCATGGAGGTATGCTTATTTTCGATTGTTCGATGACATCAAAGATAAGGTAATGCTAGCAATTGCAGTCAAAGCAGCTCATTTTCAAAGGAAACTTTGATTCGAGAAGAAATCTCTCAAGATTAAAATAAGACAAGCCAAGTGCTAACTACCAAGTTCATGTACTACGTATTTAGTTTATCTATGACTATCATGTATGTGTAATCACTGTAATGTACTGCAAGCTACTAAATAAATCATGTTTTTCCATATTTTCCTGAAATTTCCAATAAGTATTCGAATACAAGTTCTCACATAGAAAGCAAACATCGTGACTACATTTCTTTGGCGATATTTGGGAAGAAGTATGAGAAATTACAAGAATTGTAGTGTCTGCAATTTTGTCAGAAAGAGTAAATTAAATTTAATACTGGAACAATGCCATTGAACCATGAACATATAGTGTAGAGAAATTGAAAGTTGAAATAAGTGGAAGACGACATAGGAAAGAGAAGAAAGTTTATAGAATATTACTCAGTTGAAAGTTCAATAGAAAGATGAGTCGAACTGGAAAATGCACACAGACCAACTTTAAAGAATGCACCAAAAATGTCAACTTGGCATGCAATTCCTTTCTTTTTTTTCTGTTTAGATAATTTGCACAAATTTTCCCACAAGAATACAAGTGTTCACATATAAAAAATGCAGATGCCCCCACCAAAACATTCGGTAATCTGTAGAGAAAGTGGGAAAAAGGCAGAAGAAAGAGAAGCAAGTTCATTGAATGAGAAGCACACAGGAAAATGCACACAGAAAGACCAACTTGAAAAGCGATATACAGTAAAGTTTGAGGGAAAGGTTTGAATCCAAGATACAGTGAGTAGAAAATGGCTACATTATCCGACTACTAGGACAATCCACCACGAGCAAGACTAAATTAGACTTTATTCCTGAATTTCCACACATAATAATTATTTTTTACCACAAAGTTTCTGTTTGATTAACTATTAGTGCCATTTACCAAGACTTTAAGTCAATAAGTCCTGATTAGTGCTAATTAAAAATGGTTACTCGTTTCTCTTTCAGAAATCCACCAACCCACCAAAGACTTTGATGCCAAAACTTTACATGGTCGACTCTTTATCTGTTTTAATCCCTATGTGCTAATCTAGTCAAATTCAGTGGACTAGCAAGTGGCAAACATGCAAGTGGATTGAACACTTGAAATCTGGCGGCTAATAATTTCGACCTCTCCTTAAAAATTCGGTTCTTATGCTCAGTAGCCATCTGCATTCTGCACCAAACAAAGCAAAGAAAACTTGATTCTTACAACAATGTCTATCTTTGCAAATTTATGCAATCCCACCTATCACCTCAATATTGCTCACTGTTTTCTCCTTTTGCTTTTGGCCTCTTCATATCTACACACTACTAAAGTCTGTCTTGGTGATGCACTCCCAACTGCCAAATGCATCGACCAAGAGAGACGTGCGCTTCTCGCCTTCAAAGAAGATCTCACCGATCCTTCCGGCAGGCTTTCTTCTTGGGTCGGTCGCGATTGCTGCCAATGGAAAGGAATTTCATGTAACAACAACACGGGTCATGTTGAAAAGATGAGTCTCCAGAATCCATACATATATAAGCTATTGGTCTTTGATGCAGAGCGAGATGAGATGGAGTACTCGTCGTTGGGTGGTAAGATAAATCCTTCTTTGCTTAGCTTGAAGCATTTGAATTACTTAGATCTAAGCCGCAATGATTTTCGAGGGATTCACATTCCCGAATTCTTTGGCCAGCTAAAAAATTTGGGGTATCTCAATCTCTCCTCAGCTTCATTTGGAGGAGATATTCCACCTCATCTTGGTAACTTGTCACATTTGAACCATCTTGATCTCAGTGAAGAGTCTGACTACTCCTTACTTGAAATACCTTCCGAAAACTTGAATTGGCTTTCTCGTCTCTCTTCCCTAAAATACCTCAATCTTGAAGGGTTGGACCTCAGCAACACAAGTTGGCTACATAATGTTAACATGCTTCCCTCCCTACTTGAATTACACTTGCCATCATGCCAAATCGAAAACCTTCCACTCTCACTCAAGAACATTAGCCTCAAATCACTTTTGGTCCTTGACATGTCGTATAACGATTTGAAGTTTCCATTTCCTGATTGGTTTTTCAGTCTTGGTAACCTCACTAAACTGGATTTAAGTGGGAACTTGCTGATTGGACCCTTTCCCATTGAACTTGAGAGCCTCAAATCACTTGAACACCTTCATTTATCTTTCAATGGACTTGAAGGTCGAATTCCCATGCTTGAAAATTTTTGCAGTCTAAAGACCTTAAATCTTGCCAGCAACAAATTTGATGGGGGGATTCAAGAGCTGTTCGACGGTTTATCAAGTTGTCCCAATAGTAAACTCGAGTCACTAGATTTGTCTTCTAATATGCTACAAAGCAATTTGCCGGCGTCCTTGGGGATGCTACGCAATTTGAAGTATCTCAGCCTCTACAACAATCTTATGAATGGGTCCATTCCTGAAAGTTTAGGACAACTCCCTAAGCTAGTTCACCTCGATCTGTCGTTCAACCCGTGGGTAAGCATTTTGACTGAATCCCATTTCATGAACCTCACAAGATTGAAATACTTTGCATTAGGCAGAGTGGATCCATACCCAACTCTACCTATTCACCTCAGTTTCAATGTGTCTTATAATTGGGTACCTCCTTTCATGCTTCACACAATCAACATTGCGAACTGTAAAGTAGGTCCTGCCTTTGGGGTATGGCTTCAATCTCAAACTGAACTAGTCTTTGTCAAACTTCGGGGTACTGGGATTTCCGATTCTATACCAAAGCACTGGTTCTTGAAATTATCTTCCAACGTCGAATATTTGGATTTATCTTACAACCAAATCACTGGAAACCTTCCATTGGAATTGAATTTTCGGAATACTCTAATTTTGGATGTGAGTAACAATCGAATTGAGGGGCCATTCCCACTTTGGTCTGGTAACCACGTGATCCGCCTTGAGCTTGAAATGAATTCAATTTTCGGGCACATTCCTTTGAATTTGGACGAAAGGTTTCCAAAACTGGTGGCATTGTATCTCGCGGAGAATCGTTTGAGTGGTACTATTCCAAGCTCCATTTGCAACATGCAAAACTTGCTAGTCCTTTCGCTGAGAAACAATGAGTTATCAGGAGAATTTCCTCAAACATGGAGTCAGTTGCATGAGATCTTGGTCATAGATGCTGCACACAACAATCTCTCAGGCAAACTTCCTAGTTCGATTGGTGTCTCGGGCGCTCTTTTCGGGTTGAAGCTGAACAACAACAACTTCGATGGTGAAATTCCTCTTTCCTTGCAAAATTGCACTTCTTTGAGGCATATTGATCTCGGAGATAACAAATTCACTGGAAAAATACCTTCATGGATAGGATCAAAGGTGCCACTGGTATCGATCTTACGACTGCGGTCCAATTTTTTCAGTGGAGAAGTCCCCCAACAGTTGTGCAATCTTGGCTACCTTCATATCCTAGACCTTGCACACAACAACTTTTCAGGGACTATTCCTAAGTGCTTGAATAAACTGAGTGCTCTGACGCATGGAAATTTCAGTGCTTATGACTTATATGCTTTTTATGACCAAGAAACATCAGTGGTGAAAGTAAGACAACTTGACTATCAGCCGCAGACTATAATGTTCGTAAGAAGCATTGATCTTTCATCGAATAACCTCGAAGGTGAAATCCCTGAAGAAATATCCAGCCTCGCTCTACTGCATAACTTGAACTTGTCGATGAACCAATTGAGAGGAAGCATTCCATCAAAGATTGGGAACTTGCTGTTGCTCGAAGCTCTTGATCTTTCGATCAACAACCTTTCAGGAGAGATTCCTCAAAGTATTTCACTTCCGACGTTCTTGTCTCACTTGAACTTGTCTTATAACAACTTGACCGGTAGAATTCCTTTGGGCAGCCAGCTTCAGACACTCACGGATCCATCCATTTACGAGGGTAACCCGTCACTGTGTGGGGTTCCCCTTTCAACCAAGTGTCCTGGAGATGATCACACTCCTACAAAAGACAATGATCATGAAGATGGAAATGATAAGTTTTGGTTCTACATTAGCATAGCACTCGGATTTATCGTAGGTTTTTGGGGTGTCTGTGGCACATTAGTCGTCAAGAAGACATGGAGGTATGCTTATTTTGGATGGTTCGATGCCATTAAAGATAAGGTACTGCTAGCAATTGCAGTGCAAATGGCTCGTTTTCAAAGGAAGGTTTGATTAGAATAGAAATATGAATGTCGTTCTTGAATTCGGAAAATTTTAAATAACTATAAAATACATGTACTGTGTGATTTTTATTTTTTGTTCTTCCTTTTGTTGGAATTTACGAATGTAATTGCACTGGATGTTTGATGAATAAGTTTGGAATATCACTAGTATTAAAAAAACATATGATCCTGAATTGCATTGCCAATTGCCTCTCTCTTCTCTCTGCCAAACCCTTTCCACCAAATACTAATTGGTGTGCCAAGACTTCCACGGCTACCCATATCATTCCATAGAAAATTTCGTATTTCCTATTATTTAATAACATATAAGAAAGCAACGAGTGTAACAATGACTATTTTACGATGTTTCTGGTAGGCTTTTGTTTGGGTGGGCCATGATTGACTATTTTACAATGACTATTCCTAAGTGTATCCATGAAATAATACAATTGATTAGACACTCAAAATGTATCCATGTTGTATATGCTACGATTACGGTCCAACTATTCTTGTAGACATTTCCCAACAACTTTGCAATCTTCGGCACCTTCATATCCTTGCTCGACCTTAGTCTTCATATCTTAAAGACATAGTGGAGGACATAAGGTAGCACTTGCAATTGCGTTGAAAGTGGCTGATTTAAAAAAATTCTTTCTTTTTTGAGTTTGATGGTATTATTATGCATATGTGGTGTTTTTTACCTTCTGCTTTGTGTTTTTTGAACTTGCAATCTGTGATACAAATAAAGGAACTCTTATCTTTCAAAAGATGTTCCCACAGACAATTATGTATTAACCTGGAATTAAATAAAAATTATAGTTTGTACTGATCAATCGCATAATAATATATGTGACCATCCAATGTTGCAATTTAACAAAACAACGGTTTGTTCATAAAGTACATAAGCGCACGTATATATTCTTCTCTTTTACACTTCTAGAGAAATCAAATACCTCTTGTGCTTGCATCAACAATGGTTCTCTGATATCTTCGAGCAATTCGTTTGACGACATACTTTCTTGAGGTCCGGTAGGAGCATGTCCCTTTTGCTGTCTGGTTACCATGCCTTTTTTAGCTTGAATTGGTCCTGGCTTCCTTCAGGCTCTACAATGCAACGCATTAAGAGAAATCCGTCTTTCAGCAAGAGTAGACCAATTTCATCACTACGGTTTTTGAAAAAGCATTAAATTGATTACATACCAGCCGTTTGAAGGATCTACTTTGAGCAGCGTTCTTTCCATCTCCATGCCGGGTTTAGCACGATCAAGAGCCTGAGGGGAAAAAAAAATGTTGATTTTAAACATTGGTCAATGCAACCGGGTAAAACGGCAGAGAACTTATCTGCCGCACTATAATAGACTAAAGTAAAATGCTGTATTACAGAATGCAAACTAAGCTCAGACTCAACACAGTTTGTCTCCCCAGTCCCAAAAACCAATCCTCTACATTTGGCTCCGTGTCTTCGTATCATTTTGAGGCCATGAGTTTCCATTTGTGCTATTTCATTTCAGATGGGATTCATTGCAAACTAGGGATCAAACCTAAGTAAAAGAACAGCTGTGTTCGATCTCTTTGCTTGTGATACAAAATACTGATCGGTCAAGTTAACAAAACATGTGCATGTACTGAGAGAGGAGAGAGAAGGCAAGGGTGGAAGATGGGGGAAAAAATTCCATTTTTCATTCAAGATCTCTTTTCTTAGGGTAAAATCAATTTAAAAATTTTAGAACGTTGGGGTTTTAATATAGAACCACTCAAGATATTATCAAGCAACTGAAGAAATAGAGATACTGTAGCTTAAACTATACTGGAAAGGGAAAATACTACCTCAATCAAAGATTCCACGCGACGTCTCATCCTTGTATGCATGAAACCCTCTGAACACTGCAAAAGAATATGCACAAAAGGAGATTGAGATCAAACATATCAAATGAAGAAATACATACATATTAATCATTGAAGACATAGTGCGCTTCCAAGCAGCAATCATAGTCAGTACGTTATAGACAGACAGAGACGGACAGACAAAAAAGTTGTGCAGGACAAGGACTTATAGCATGGAAAAGTTGGTCCAACATTACTAATAAATGAAGTTTAGGAAAACTGAGCGATGGGCTGCAAACAAGAGTAAATCAGACAAAGCAAAAACATATACGACAAAGAATAAAATCTTACCTCCTGCACATAAACTACGAACTTTACACGATTTCCGGATCATACCATATCCATTTATCAATAGAAAGTAATATGACAAAATTTGTTTAGTTGATGAGGACAAAAGGTGGAAGTAACAAGTTTAGAGGAAAAAGGTCACCTTAACATGGTAACTAACATAAGCATGAAAAGTTGATAAACTCCAAACTGTTCGATCCAATTTCTTGCCTTCCACATGACGAGGGAAAATAACTGCATTGGTACACCGTACATTTTATTAAAGTGAAAAATAAAAAAACAAACTGCCCATTTCCCTGACATTACCAAAAGTGACAAATCCTGCATTGGCAGACAGTGCTTCAGTGGGAGCTTCCTTTAGTTCTAAAGGAGGGGTAGGAGACCACAAACAAGGAGGGGCGCTATTAAGTCCAGCTGCACGTCTTGCTTCCACAAATTCCTAAATGGTAATAAAACCATCACACTTAGCAACTAAAACACATCAAAACAAGAGTACATAGATCCATGGCAGCATAGCTTGGAGGTAGCAGAGTTCAACAAGCTAACATTATCTAAGGTATCTAGCAAACCTTATCAGCCTCACCAACATATAATTAATAGACTTCACATTCTCTTCCTGGGTAAAAAAATTTAAATTTGCAATTTAAGGTCATATACTTATCAAACCTGCAAGAAGGAAGTTGCAAGAACAATATCTATAGAGTCCTTGAATCTCATAGGGAACACTACCGTCACTTTGTCTACCTGCAAAAAACATCGCAAGGTTTATCAGAATAAGGTTTCAACTGCAGTCCCTATAAGTAGCTAAAGTACAAAACATAAAAGCAACAAAGAGCAAAATGATAATTTGTTAGCCTTAATACGTAAGTTTACCTGAGGAATAAGGAAAAAGGACTCGTTTGGTCGATGCAAAAGAGCGACAAGCCCATCAGTATTGGACGCAACATTCCTTGCACCAAGCTTCTTCAGAACCCCTCGCAATGGAGCACCTAGCACCACTTCTCTTACAGATGCAATCTTTAGCAAAAGAGCATGTTTGTACTCTACGCAAAATCGCATCCGCATAACAAAGTCAAAAAAGGAAAAATTGGAAGTCAGCCAAAAAAATCAATAGATAAAAAAGGTCGTACCCAGTGCACAAGGCTCCCGCTTTACGCAGGGTCTGGGAGAGGTGAATGTCGGCTAGCCTTACCCCCATTTATGGAGAGGCTGCTCCCAAGTCTCAAACCCGAGACCTACCGCTCATGGGCGAAGGCACTTGCCATCGCACCAAGTGCGACCTCTTAAAAAAAAAATCAATAGATAAATACATAAAATTCGAATGTATAAGAAAAACGAAAGCCCGAAAGAGGATAATCTAGTAGAATAGAATCTAAAGCAACCCTAATAAAGTGAGACAATGTTGGGTTTTACACCAATGGACCAAGCAGTCCAAGAAGGGTTTTATACCAATGAACCAAGCAAGTCCAACAAGCTAAAGTTATCTGGAAACAAGCCAATCTTGTCTATCAAGCTAAATGCATACTAAAACACAAAAACTTCGAAAAGAATATTAGCAACTAGAAAAAACACCCCGACGACTATTATTCATTGCCTTGACCGGCTTTAACAAGATCTCTTAAATGTTTTGAAAACATATATCCATGGGTATGGCAAGCTTTATAATGACCTTAGAAAAGGAATTCGTTGAACCTTCATCTGGAGGAAGTTTGTTGAGATTGAGCTTCAAGGTAAGATTAAACCCATCTCTTGGGGGGTCAAGAATTTGAACCACCGCGCCGTATGCAGCCTTTATAGCCTCTATAGCTCCGGAGGGAAGGCCGCCCAAGAACACAGTTTCCGGAGGTGGTCGGTAGCGATACCGAAAGCAACAATATATGTGGGTTCTTCATCGTCACCTGCATAACATCAATGCCATTACACAACCCGTCCAACCAAAACTGTTCAAAATCCGAAATTGAATTCTGGGTTATCACCTGAATGTGGTAGCGAACGTCGTCGAACTCGGCCCAGTGGTAGTCCGCCTCCACCGCCTTCTCGATGCTGCAAAACCATACAAAAATGAGAGGGTGACAATGAGGAAGAAGAAAAAGAAGAAATTGGACCGTTGAATTGGGTAAAGGAACGAACTTTTGGAGGCGATTGAGCAAGGTGTCGAGTAGAAATCTTGAGTGGGACTGCAATAGAATCATTGGGACTGAATTGGGTTTGAAGATTTGACGGTTTTTGTGGCGCCTGTGGCTTCTGCTCTCAGTATCTGTTCGTCGGGAGAGAGAGCTCAGAAAATGCAGAACTGGCTGAGATGGATCTACACTTGAGAATTTGACATGGCGTGTCGCTCAGGGAGTCTGCGGTTCAAACAACGGAGAACTTTTTTATTGTCACGGAATACGCCTGTTTTTTATTTACGGAGGTGAGGGAATTTTTTTTTTTTTTAAGTTATTAATTTTTTAACACACATATTTCACCATTTATACAATAACATATGGTATACGATCTCGTGTTTCAGTTACATCGAAAAATCTCTCCCAACAACGTCGTGTTTTTGGAGAAATTTTTTGTTGCGATGGAAACACAAGTGGTACATCACGTGTTTTTATGTAAGTGGTGGGAAATTATATTTTTTAAATTATTAATTTTTAACACACATACTTTACCATTTGTACAATGACAAGTATGTCGATCATATTGAAAAATCTTCCGTGATTTTGGCCTTTACCTCGTTTTTTCAACTTTACCTCTCTTCTTTTGCTATTTGGTCCTTTTGGAATTCGGATGCCGGAATGGTACCCTAATTCTTTCCTTAATTCCAAATTCCACCCTCTCTTCTTCTCGTTATGCCACTTTGTGCAGTTGCTCTTGGCTTCATGTCTTTGAGACATTCTGTTAGACATCCTTGTCAAACATCCTTTCAAACATATTGCTTTCAATAATTCTGTTATGAATTTACTATAATTTTATAAAATTTAATCAGATATTTAGAATTCAAGCATTTACGGGAACAAAACACTTTTACTTGTTATTTTACATAAAA